TGTCAGAGCTTTCAGCGTTTAGGTGCTTCTAGTGTCTTAAAGAGAAAACATCAAAACCATTGGAAACTTTGAAAATATGACCTACCCAACTTCTTGATATATAGCATCCGACAGTTGCCTTGGTTTCATATTTTCTGCACCTGGACGGTTAAGTGCTGCTGATTCTTTCACAGTGGCTATTATGCTATTCCGCAACTCTTCCTGGAGCAAAACAAAATTTCAGACAACTTGGAGCATATATAAACTTAAAAGTGTAATAGCCTCATTCTTGTCCTTTTCTTTTTCTGAACATAAAGTAAAAACATGACATACCCAAAAGCCAACAGAAATGACATACAACAAATCCACCTACATCGTGGTTACTGCAAAGTGCCCAAAAAAAAAAATCGTGCATGTTGAATTTTTGGTCAACTCATACCTTTAGTTTCTAATATCTTGAATAAAACACAGGCATAAAAGCAGAGTCACAGTGCTGGAGATGTTGGTTCAAGATAATCGGCATCTTTGAGAAGATAGTTCAATAAAACCTAAAACAAATAATTTGCCCTACCTCAAACTGAGCCCTAACATGCCCACTAAGACTGCGGCAAAAGATAAATGAGGAATGGACAGAAAAATGTGCAACGTGCACGATGTTTTTGCAAAAAAAAAAAAAAAAAGCAATTTCCCTTTAAAGCAAATGGTTTTCTTGGGTAAACCACTCATCATATGTTTGAGAAGATAATGTAAAAACCACTCATCATATGTTTAACACTAACATAGTTAGTCGGAGACAAGAACCTTCACAAGTAAAAGCGACGGGACACGGATAACGCACAAATTTACAAAAGGGCATCCCTAAGGGGTTTGATATAGACAGTCTACCCTAATGCAAGCATTAGTGGCTGCTTCCACGGCTCGAACCCGTGACCTATAAAGCATAATTTTATAAATAATTTATTTGGCGTTAACCTATTCAAAAATATTAAATGATGTAAACTAGAGGTGTCAAACGGCCGGGTTGACCCGGGACCGGCCCAGACCGGTTGAAACCCGGACCGGACCGGCCCGGTACTTAGGGGGCCGGGTGGGCTGGGTTACTGGGGTTAGGGGGGTTGGTCCGTTCACTTTAATTCATCCGGTTAATCGGACCGGTCAAACCCGGTCAACCAAAATCCCTGTAGAACCGGCTAACCGGCCCGGACCTGTTTAAAGGCTAAACAACTACTTATTATAGAAGACTCAGGCACACTTCCCTATACTTCTCCTAAGTGACTTCAAAATCCTCTTTCAGCCGATTCGAAAGCAGCAATAGATGATTTCAATATTTTTTTTTTAAGGTTTTAGAGTCCAAGGCAATGCAAAACCTTTGAATTTACTCTTTTTTGATTAATTTACTTGTTGTTAAATGTAAACCTTTCAATTTGTAAGTTTGAATTTTGAAATAAATGTAGCACTTGCAATTTATAAGTGCAATTTTTTTTCATCTTCATTGTATTCTTTATATTTTTACTTTATAATATAAATTACAATAGTTATACAAAATACAAAAAAAAAATTAAAAAATAAAAAAAACACTAACCCGGCCCGGCCCCTTGGACCCGTAACCCTTACGGTTCATTTTTTAACCGGATGAACCCGAACCCGTTAAGCCCGGTAACCCCTAACCTATAGCCGGCCCAGTTCGAAACCCGGACGGTTTCAACTTTTTTCTACCCAGCCCGGCCCGGCCCGGCCCGGCCCGCCCGTTAGACACCCTTGATGTAAACAACATTTCATCAATTTCGTTGATTCTAAACTGAACATAAAATGGTCTTAGCATAACAGAATCAGTTGGAGTAGTTTCATATACTAAAGGAGCATTATATAAATACGAAATCTCAGAATTTGATAGAAAACACTCATCATATTCTTTAACGAATAATGCTTATCTTACTTCTCAACTTGCAGCTAGGCGAACTTGACCAACACTTGAATAGAAGCTATAAATTTTGGCTCCATGCTTCCTGTGCCTTTAAACACCGGATTCAAGTATATAGATAAAGTCCCATTCTCTTATTAAATAAATTAACTAGCCCCTCATACCCTTGTACTAAGTAAATAATCACATAATAACTTCAAGACTAGAAGTGCATCGTTTACCTTCAACATGAAAAAGGAAGATCTCTTTGATCTTCTTGTATATAGAGATATACCAAAGGCAAGAAAGACGTTTTAACTTTACCATGAATAGTACATCGTTCTCAAGTTTTATATGAGAAAATAACTGTTCAGCTCTAGGAGAAACGATGTTTTAAATGATAATGAGCATGAAGGTTTTTTTTTTTTACCAAGCTTAGGCAGATATGTTAGGCTTTGGGAAACTAACAGTGAAATTTTCTCTGTCCCCTTGCCCCACCGCAGACATTAGGAAGCACAACATCAAATTTAATCAAGTTTGACACCACATTAATTCATGTACGACAATAATACAGTTAAGTCCCAGCTATTGTCTTTTAAATTTGAACTATTGGAACCAGATATTTTGGAGTGTGATCTTTTGTAGTAGCAAGCACTTTATTTTAGGTGATTCCTGGACGCGCAATATGATGTCACTTAATAGATTCTTTATGATGTTGGAACCGCGAAGCTTTCAAAGTTTGTCCCTTATGCCTTTAATTTATTGTTACTAATCTAATTTTTATATTTTTTTAAGTAAGAACTGATAGTTAGTACAGTTCTAGTTTTAAGTGTAGACCATATACAGATATAACATCATCTCCAATACGTGTCATGCCCCCATAACATTTCAAAATTTTCATGCCAGGTCCATGTCCATGTTCAACGTAATGCTAGTGTGATGTATTTTTGCTTAGCTTCTAAATGTGTATAAAAATGTGCACATCTCTTCAAAAGGTGCACCTTTGTGGAAGGTTAAAAGTTTTGACATTAATTGGAAATAAAGAGATTTGTTATCAGCAGAAAACAAGCATAATGTAACAAAATACTTCCCCGAACCTGGGGCACCAAGTCAGTTTCACCTTTTACAGCTCTTCCCTAGCCTAAAAGTCCAGGCTCATTGCTAAACCCAAATATAACTAACAACTGACCAGGGTAAATCAAACTATAGAAAGAATGCAATCAAAACTGCAAGTCTCGTCAAAAAATTTAATTACTTATACCTGAATACCGCAAAAGTAAAGTCCAGACCATACAGAGGTGGGCTGTTACAAGACATTGTTGTAGGGATGGAAAAAGAACCACTAAAGATCCTTAGTCTAAGCGAGTTCAACCTGAACTTGTGCCTTCAATCAAAATCGATCTGAATTTATTTTGCACTCAACTCAACTCATATTGATTTAAAACCCAGCCCTAACAAAAGCTGAGCGTGCAAGCTTCTACCGACCTAGCTCAACTAGCAATCCAAGTAGATTAATATTCAAGGTATTCTTTAGGCAAAAGAGAAGACATCAGAACCTCAGTTTTGGAAAGGCTCACTGATCGACTGTGTACAATTAGTTCTGTTTAAAAATCTTGCCTTGGATGCAATGAAACTCAAGAGTTCCCCATGGAAAATCATATGGAGTTAAAATCAGTCAGAAGAGCTTTCAAGCAAAGGCCTGGCCAGGCTTAACATGCCAATAGAATCCCGCCAGTAAGTCTAGTAACAAACATCAACCAAGGTATACGGTTTCAAATCTTGTAGAAACCCTTTCTGCATCCGACAAAGTCCTTATTGAACCTTTAACTGACATTTTCTGAACTTCTACAGTTTCAAACTAAAAAGAAGCATATTTTTGTTTTTCAATGATGTTAAGCATCCAAATGAAAGCTGAAACAAGCATAAACATGTACATAGAACGTGCACTACAAAATTAAAGTTTTAACTTTTATACACCGATAATGGATCTATCAAGTTACTGAAAAACCAATTGCAAATAGCAGCCTAGTTTGAGATACCTAGAAAAAGGGTTAGAAAATTGGTAAACCAGCTAGCATGGGTTAGGTTAAATTTCACTTAGAGTGTAACAATTCTTTATAGTCCATTGACTCTTTGAAGTACCTTTGATCCATTGACTCCCGGATCACCATGATCAACTTTTGCTTCCACCCGTCGGTCTCATAGTCAGGTCAGCTATACCATCATGCTCATGAGTAGAATCATAGCTTGCGCCAACTTTTGAACACCTATGTTTCTCTTTAGGAGGCACCTGCCCTAGATAAACTACATACCTTGCCCCTTCTGGGTATATAACTTAAATCCTAAAATTGATCTCTAATCTCTAATCAGTGCCAAAGGCCAGCGCCACATGCAATGAATGGGGAAGTTATACTGTGCAAATAGGATAAGAACAAAAACTTTTGTACTAATAATAATTTTTTAATTCAAATCACATATGTAGCATTCTTGTATTTTCTTTTTGAGTTGAAGTTATATACACCATCATTGTAAAGAATCTTTACATTATCAGTTCAACCAATACCTGTGGGAATATACTTGGTTTATTGTTGTTGTTGTTGTTATTGTTATTAGTTCAACCAACGGACATTTACAGGTAAGCCAGCCTCCTTAAAATATAGGATTTGCTATCTTTAAAGAAAGATATGCTACCTACTGCAACAGATAAAGGTGACCTGATAAATTCCTCTCATTGGTATATCTTTAACCTATTATAGCAAGTTAACTTACCAATTATTCTAGATTAACAATCAATGCTATTAATCAGAATCCTGCCATCATTTTTTAGGTGACCTTCAAAATATGCTTTATGGTCGGTGCATAGAACTTAAACTCATATGTTTACTAGTTTAATTCTATGTACACAATCAGGTCACTTACTCTATTAAATAGCATTAATTGATAACCTCGAATAAATGGTAGTAACACATTATAATAGGTTAAATTACATGATAGTATGAACAATTTATTACATTATCACTCTATCACAGGTGGAGGGATAAAGACTGCATACACAATACGTTCCCTATACCCAAACTTGTAGGATTACACTGTGTATGTTGTTGTTCTTGTACTCCATCAGTGTATATAACTTAAGCCCTAAACAAATATAACAATAGAGAAACGGAAGATGAATAAATAGGATGTGCAATTTTAGCCCAATGAGAAACCCTAAATAACAAGCTATAACAAAAGAAGAAAAAGCAAAATACTGACGTTTTCTTTGAGTTTGCGGAGAATTTTGAGGCGAAGTTTATCGAAATCACCGTCGTCTTTGAGCTTACATATCACATCTTCAGCTCTTATTCTTTTCCCGTTCGTACCATTACTACTATTCTCCATTGTTGTGTCGTAGAGCTAAAAGGCAAATCTATAGGGGTATAACTCTATAGTATATATTGGATGTAGAACTTTGGAATAAGGAAAAATATTATTTTTTGAAATTGTTGAGTGGATTTTGTTGCTCTGTTAACAATTGTGAAGAGGAGGAAAGAGTGATTAAAGATTTGGACAGATGGTGTCGCTGTTAAAAAGACAAAAGTAAGCTTTTAAGTAGGTCATTTGCATTTATACTCGCTTTTTGTGTCACGTTTTAACTTGTGCCCATTTTGCAAAAAAAATTACAAGCGTACCTGTTTTTTCGCATAACTTCAGCATACGGGGCTGAAGTAGCAAAGGCAATCACGCAAAACTTCAGCATTCTAGTAGCCGGACCTGAAGTTCAGCTCTAGAGCTAAAGTTTTTATTTTGTAATTGGCGAACTTCAGCTCTAGAGCTTAAGTTTTTGTTTGTAAGTTCATCACTAGTCTACATTTGCTTACAGAAACACGACATTGGATACAATACACGCATAGGCACCATTGCAACAAGGATAGTTAGACCAGAGCTCAATTTTAGAACCAAAACTGTTCATTGGCTTTCTGAAACAAAGTAAAAATTTCTGCACAGCGACAGATGCAAAATTAATCCAACAACGGCGAAAACCTTTGATCCTGTCTGTGCCTGGAGCATCAAACCATTTACAATTTTTCTTCTAAATTTTAATCTTTCATTCACTATTCAAGTTCAGCAACTAATTAAGGATTGTTCAGTCAATCATCTAGGTGCCGCTTTAAATAATTTGTTTATAATTTTATTTTTAAATAATCTGATAAATATATTTATGGCAATCATCCCATGAACCGAAGTTTCATTGCAACACCAACAACAGTAGAAGAAGAAGAAGAAGAAGAAGAAGAAGAAGAAGAAGAAGAAGAAAACGAAGGAGGAGAAGGAGGAGGAGGAGGAGAAAGGGAGTTGAAGTTATTTAAAAAGTGGGTACAAGCTAAAAAATTTTTAAAAAAAAATGAATATAGGTTAAATGGGAGCGACCAAATAGGGCGCCCCATGCAATTTTTACCTTAATCAGACGTCTCAAAGTCGAGCCTATGAGAATTGAGCTCACTAAGAGTGAACAAAGGATTAGAAGTACCCAAACTAGTAAATTGAGCAAATCTCTCAACATTTAACTCGAGATTTTCAAGTGGAGTACTAAGAGGCTTAGAGCGAGCCTTTTATCTCCCTCTATGAGTTGATTCAGTGCGAAAAGTCGATGTAAAATTCAAAATGACTATTCACACGTCAGAGTATTCGGATGCACGTGCTTTGTTAAAATTCGGGTACTCCTTTCTCAAAAGGGCTACAAGTGTTAATGATCACGGAATGATTAAATTAAAAAAAGAAAAAGAAAAACAAGGTAATTTAGGCCTTAAAAGTAAAAATTGCACGGGGCGCCTTGGTCGCCCCCATTTAACCTATACCCATTATTTAAAAAACTTTTAGCTTGTAGCCACTTTTTAAATAACTTCAGCTCCCTTTCTCCTCCTCCTTCGTTTTCTTCTTCTTCTTCTTCTTCCTCTTCTTCTTCTTTCTTCTACTGTGTTGGTGTTGCCATGGAACTTCAGTTTATGGGATGATTGCCATAAATATGTTTATCAGATTATTTAAAAACAAAATTATAAACAAATTATTTAAAGCGGCACCTAGATGATTAACTGAACAATCCTTAATTAGTTGCTGAACCTGAATAGTGAATGAAAGATTAAAATTTAGAAGAAAAATTGTAAATGGTTTGATGCTCCAGGCACAAATAGGATCAAAGGTTTTAGGCGTTGTTGGATTAATTTTGCACCTGTCGCTGTGCAGAAATTTTTACTTTGTTTCAGAAAGCCAATGAACAGTTTTGGTTCTAAAATTGAGCTCTGGTCTAACTATCCTTGTTGCAATGGTGCCTATGCGTGTATTGTATCCAATGTCGTGTTTCTGTAAGCAAATGTAGACTAGTGTTCGACAGTTCCAAAACAAAAACTTCAGCTCTAGAGCTGAAGTTCGCCAGTTCAAAAAACAAACTTCAGCTCTAGAGCTGAAGTTCGACAATTCCAAAACAAAAACTTCAGCTCTAGAGCTGAAATTCGCCAGTTACAAAACAAAAACTTCAGCTCTAGAGCTGAAGTTTGCCAGTTACAAACAAAAACTTTCGCCAGTTACAAAACAAAAACTTTAGCTCTAGAGCTGAACTTCAGACCCGGCTACTAGAATGCTGAAGTTTTGCGTGATTGCCTTTGCTACTTCAGCCCCGTATGCTGAAGTTATGAGAAAAAGCGGGTACGCTTGCAATTTTTTTTGCAAAACGGGCACAAGTTAAAACGTGACACAAAAAGCGGGTATAGATGCAAATGCCCCTTGATTAAGTATTGAGAGATCTTAATTATCATACCACACTTCTTGGTGGTAATCTACTTAATTTTTGGTAACAGGCACTTCGGATCCTTCCTTGGGCCAATTTGTGCACGCGGTATTGAGAAATATATATTTTAACCGCTTGAAAAAATAATAGCTGACATATATATATATATATATATATATATATATTGCTACAAAATACAATTAGTAGGAGATACTACATCCTTTTAGCAATACAAATATCGTTTAGCTCTTGGTTTACTACGGTGTAGAAATATTCTTTTTGCTTCTCTTGAGAGTTGTACAATAATTTCTCGTGGTCATCATTCCAATTTCATAAATCAAAAGGACTCTTTGGATCATTGTGTATGTTGTTCACGTATTGGAATAACTTCAAAACCATAAACTACAAATAAAAAATCTTTTATCAATAAAAAAAATGCTCTCAAAAGAATAAAAGGACTATATCTTCTCTACATCCCAATAATCCATACCTATTCCGTCCTAATTTATGGAAAGATAATATCCATATCTATACAGGATTTTGACTTTGTCAAAGATAGAAAAATTTTACGAATGAACAAATAAATAATATAGAGACTGCTAATTTTCCTGTACAAGTTTGCATTGACAGTAAAAGTTTCCATTCAAATGCAGGAGGGGAAGGAGGAGGGTGACAAGAGGGCCATATAATACAGTACAGATATAATACAACACCATAGCAATATTTGCTCCTAAGTTTTAAGTTTTACAAAAATAAACTGAATTTTTTTTGCAAAAGCCACCACTTCGCGACGAATGCAACAATACATATCAATCATTGCCTGCTTCCCATGAAGATCAACGTTACCACTTAGCGGATTTAGATTCAGTGACTTCTCCTTTTCTTCGAACTGCCCGACTGCCTGCAACGATAGATTACATACAAGTTATGCAGATGGTTCGTTGCAAATCAAGTGTTATCGAAATGAGAAGTCAAAACACTTACGAATCATCACAGTTTTCTTCACTGCCTAATGACCTCTGTGTACTTCGCGATGGTCCTGAAACCTAGAAAAAGAGAGAAGGTAAATTACTGTAAATCAAATTGGCGTCAAGAAATTTCCACAGGTTGGAGTAGATACATTAATCATAGACCTCTTTTAAGCATCCGGTTCCAACTTACTGCAAGCACATCTAAAAACCAGCATTCATAATCTCATGCTTTTGAGAAAACTTCAGAGAAGCAACAAATCTCGGCATTTGACATACACTTAATTACACTACTAAATCTTGTTTATGAACACAACGGAAAACCTGATGCTTTGTTCAGAGAATCTTTCTACCAAAAGATTTTTAAAAAAAAAAATCTGTCAAGTAAAATTCATGGATGATACAGAATGCCAAAGAATATTCATCATTAGCAATAATTCTCACTAAGAAACCCTCCGCAGAATATTTAACAAGTTCGCCCTCGAAAATGAGCATAATACATTACTGGAACCACTTCACCATGCTAGAGAAAAGAGAGAAAGTCTCATCTGCCAATTGTAAAACAGAGACTGAAATTTCCAGGACTCTATTATAGCACTCTAATTCATCACAATCCTTTCCCCAGAAAATAAACCTTACACAGACCATCAACCACTAGATAGCATGGAGAAAAGGAAGGGATGGGAGTTGAACCAAGAATTATGCTTCCAGTTTATTGCAAAATGAGGGAAGGGTAAACAATTTTCTCAAGAGAGAAAGAAAGTTAAAAATAAATAAATAAATAAATAATAAAAAAATAAAACAGAAGGATCAAGGTGAATCTTTTACAGTTGTTGAAAAATTTAAGCCAACAAAGCATGCTTGATATGTATATTCAAGAAAAGCGTCAAAGACTACTTACAGGGGGGTGCGATCTTTTGCTTCCTGTGCTATGAGCTTCAAGATACTCTTCATACGTCTGCAACAAGAGAAAGGAATTCAATTGTTACAGTAATATCTTAATTATGGCAACATGATTTAATGGTGGATTTACCAGCTACACCACGTCATCCATGAAGTTTTATACTTTTTTAATGAAAAGGTAAAGTCCATGAAGTATTATAGTACTTGTTTTAAAAACATCCTTCAAACTCAAATCCGGGAAGAACAGAATATAGAACCCACAGAGTATATAGCTAGGAGCCAGGTGAATCTATATATTAAATACATAAGAAATGCAATGTCTTCATACGAGTCAAAATGGCTTAACACTTGTTTGAAAACGAGAGGGATACACACACACAAGCAGAGATGGAGAGAGAGAATGGCGGGAAGTTTCGTGGCGCCTGCAAAACAAAGTGCACGTTGATAGTAAGTGTCTTAAATCATTACTAATCAACATAATGATATGCTAACTAGGGACTGATGCAGGACGTAAATTAGGCAATAGAAGACCAGCAAGTTCTGGATGATATATATAAGATTTTGCGTGCAGAAAGTTGCATAGAGAAATTGAGGTTCTACTGCCTGTCAGATGGGCAAAGGAAAGGATAGCCGGATATGTAGGAAGGATAAAAGTTAAGGCAGGTAAACATTAAGTTGCAGAAAACTTGAAGCTCTAGTCCTATATCGGAAATATAAGGAATATTGCGAGGTCGTAGATTTATGGTATGAGGGAACAAGTTTTGGCAGTGAGGTGGGAGACCAATGAAAAAGAGAAGAAGAACGTCTACGAATCCCACCAAGCATTTCCTTGGGACTAGAAGCACCAAAGAAGAAAAAACAAAAGCTTCACCAACAAAATAGGAATAACCTGATAACTTTTCACTCTAATCAGTTCAACATCTCTTAAGGATTACTATTCGCTGAAAAAGGAAACTTCCATATACGAACTTCTAACACTACTAGGATTCCCAAGTAAAATTAGGAAATTAGATAAATTAAAATCTAATAAACCATCTAGCAACAAAAAGTTTACTATAAACAAAAAACACCCTGCACTTATAAAAATAACTTAATACAATTAATGGTATCTTGATATAACATCTGTGCATTCAAAAAAATTGTAAGCCATTACACTCATGAGTCTTATGATACAAAGAGAACAACTGAGAGCCCCACTACAGAAACAGATGATGCAAAGTCTAATATCAGAAAATCTGGCAGTCTTTTCAAATTCAAAATTACTGAATTTGACAAGTTCTTGCACATGCCTCCTAACAGTAGACAACCGAGGTATCAGACACACACAAAGTACAGCTTCATATCCATTCGATGAAAGGAGGATGCTAGATATCAAATAACCAATTACAAACTACAGAGAAATCAAGCTTTAATCGCTGAAATCATCAGCAAACTTTGAAAAAAGTACACAAGACTATTTCATCATCTTGGAATATAAGAACAATCTTTTCAACCTAAGAGCGTCAATAAGTAAAATTATAGGGTAAGACAAGAAAGACAGACCATTTCAAGAATGTCATCTTCAGTCAAATTACTCGCAAGTGGGCTCCTTTCTGCTGACAAACCCCACATGTTGATTCGAGGACCCACATCAGCGTCTACATGAAGATTAGCAAGGCTTCCATTTTTTTGTGAATGCCTTGACTGTTTTGATTTCGATTCCCCTGATGCAATAGCTGACTCCTCCGCAGCAAATACACCATTTATTCCTTGAGGTGCTATGTGCAGTCCATGAGCATTAACTTGATGTTGGTAGAGAAAAGAGGGATAAAGCATGGACCCCATATGTAGAGATGCATTATACTCTTCACCCCCAGGATGAACTGAAGGCTCTACATATGGCCTTTTAAAAGAGAGATCATTCCTTGCAAATCTATCCCTGAATGAGCCAATAACTATTATAAAGAGAAAAATCATTTGGACCAGTTTTTCCAGAACTCTAGAACTAATTCAAATTTGAAATTTGAGAAAACACTCTGGGGTTGTTCGGTTGGTGGGATAAGGGATAATAATCCTGGGGATTAGATGCGGGATTATTTTATCCCGCGTTAGGTTAAATTTTCGTATCCGGGATTAATAATCCCAAGATTAATTTATACCATTGTGGTATTATTCTATCCCCGGGAGTGGGATAACAATCCCGAGATTACTAATCCCGGAATAAAAACACTACAATGACGAAGATACCCTTCTTCAAGGCTCTTTCCCCAAAGTCATTTTTAAAAATCCAAGGTTCAAATTGGAAAATAAAATTTTATCCCAACTTATCTAGTATACCGCAAACACATGTTTTATATTATAGCTCGTATATCCCATTTTTAGTCCAACAAACCAAACGTCTACCAACAAAAATATATCCACTAAATAATTTTGTCACTATTTAATCCCCGTATTATAATCCCAGGATAACTTGTTCCCCAGCCAAACGACCCCTCTATGTTTCCAAATAACAGAACGGGAAGAATATTTTAAAATTTGGGGAAAGGGCAATACATTTTCAAATTAACATCCAAAGCATCTTGTCCATCAAGGAGCTCACATAAAGCTTCACCAATATCTGGAGGTAACTCCTGACAGCAGTACATGTACCAGAGTCATAAAAGCCCCTTTACTAACAAGAGTACATGGAAAAAATAAGCTTATAGTACAGCGACAAGAATATAACCCATGCCTGGCAATCTCTACTAATTTTGACTGGTTTGTAGTCATTCCATGGATTCTTAAGGTGAAGAGTTCTTTGGAAAGGCAGATCATACAATCGCAACCATTTCACTTTGAAGCTGCGGCCCCAAGGATTACGTCCACCATTTCCTTGACTCCAAACTTGGTCTCTTCTCCAACCAACAGTTGAAATCATTTCGGCATACCCTTGAAAGAAGCCACTCATGTTGACACTAAATATTAGTATCACTTTGCTGGAATTCTGCCCAAAAAAGAAACATGTTTTTGTCTGTACTGTAAGATATATGACAGATTTTCGAAAGGAAAAACGACTTACATTAAATGCTTCATCCAGAATTGGCTCATTCATGACTTGAGTTGCCCAAATCCCTTTGTTTACTGATAACTGGATATTTTCATGGTTCAAACTCTTGATTATGAAATATCTTACGCCATAGAATTTACCATTTCCAATTGCACCTGAAATTCCAATCTGCTGACATGAATTTGTCCGCTCTTCTGCTCTAGAACGACATGTATCCTCATTTGCTCTGTAGCTTGGAGTATCTGAAAAAAGAGTAGACATTTTATTGAATAGTGTCCACATATACTAGTAAAAAGTAATTCATAAACTATCATTTAACTATCGCTAGTCATGTCAATGACATGGAAGTCACAGGATATATGAGAATGTGCATCTAAAAACAGTAACTAAAAGTAAGAAAAAGAAGCACTATTCACAACCAAAAAATAATGGAGCAAGCATAGGAACTAGCTTGAGCTGCTTGTGCATAGAAATTAATCATCTGGTTCCAACATCTCAAAACATCTTTAAGAAGAAAAAATGAGCGCACAGCCATTTTCCGCGAAGTTACTAATAATTATTGATATAAGATTCAGTAAGTAAAACTTGAAAAGAAGTTAGATTGTGGTATGGCTCTTGAATAATATAATCAAGTTGAGGTAGGAAAATGAATCACAAAGTAAAATATTATAGTGACCCGGGACTCTGGTCTAGTGGTAAGAACGCAATGTGGGATAGGCACATGTCAGGGGTTCGAAACTTGCCGCAGGCAAAAGCTTGGTATTTAAGTGGAGAAGGGTAGAAGGGCAGGCCTTTTATCCGCGAAGTTTCAAACACTGCACCACTGGCCTCGGGGATTTCTCGGTTATCAAAAGAATATTATGATTAACGTCGATATACTCATGTTGCACTTACTATAATGGATGAATACACCAAGAGGAGTGGAAACTAAGAGAGAAAAGAAGTTGGGATAAAATAAGTAAACACTTTAAGAATCCAATAAGTCTGATATTCCAAAAATCTGAGAGAGGGAGAAAGAGAGAGGACGTTACAACCACAAAATAGAAACAGGTTTGATCAATAGCGTCCTAGACAGCATCCCCACCTACTATATGTCATTATTTCCAATGAGTAGTAAGGTTTTGAAACAGCTTGATAAAATAAGAAGGAATTTTCTATGGGAAGGGAATAGCAGTGACCACAAATTTCACCTGGTTAAGTGGTCCAAAGTTTTATTACCAAAGCACCAAGGTGGACTGGGTATCAAGGATTTAGCTTTACAGAATAAATGCTTATTAATGAAGTGGCTATGGAGGTACACTCAGGAGAATAACTGCCTGTGGAAGGAAGTTGTCAATGCCAAACATGGTGTACAGAACCACTGGTGCACTAAACATTCAAGAGCACCACATGGAGTTGGAGTTGGGAATGGACATCATATCAAGTTCTGGAAGGATAAGTGGCTGGGCAGCACAGCTCTAATGAACGCCCATCCTGCACTGTACCAGATAGCCCAGAGAGCCTGACTCAACAATATGCCACAACAGGGAAGACAATACTTGGAACATAATCTACAGAAGGAACCTACAAGATTGGGAATTTGAGGAATTGCTCAGACTACTGGCCACTCTAAATGGCTTCTCAAGCACCAATTAGCACCAGACCAGCTCATATGGGGAACTAGACAAGCAGGAAGATACTCAGTGAAAGCAGCCAACAAGTACTCATAATGCAATCACTGACCAGTGGCCATGGAAGCTAATTTGGAAAGTCAAACTACCACCTAAAGTTATCTGCTTCAACTGGACAGCACTTCATGGAGCTTGCCTAACACAAGATAACTTGGCCAAAAGGAATTTCCCTATAGCTAACAGATGCTTTATGTGCCAGAGGAATGCAGAGTCACACAGTCACCTCTACCTACATTGCACAGTCGCCAGCATATCTTTGGAATATGTTTTTATCTCTTTTTGGACTCGAATGGGTCATGCCACAAAACTTCAGGGAAGCTTTTGAGAGCTGGAGCCTTTGGAAAGTTGATAGCTCCATCAGGGAAATATGGAAGATGATACCTGCAGCCATTTCTTGGACTATCTGGAACGAAAGGAATAGAAGGTGTTTTGATGGGATATCAACTGCTGTCCAGTCTCTCAAAGCTGTTTGTTAAGTGTATTTATTTATTTGGGCTTATCTAGCCCCTGTAGATTCTCCTGTTAGTTATCTAAACTTTGTTAGCTCCCTAGTACTAAGCTGATTTTTTTTGCCTTTTTGTATTGGAGCTAACAATTTTCACTACTTTTGTAACTATTCTGCATCTTCTTGATGCCATCAATGAAACCAATTACTTCATCAAAGAAACAAAATAGAAACAGGACAGAAGGTGAAAAGCTCACTACAAATCTCCAAACATTACGTAACACACAGGTTCATTATGAAGGCTTGAAATTGCATTGAAAAACCAAGTGAAAAGCTTTAAAAATTCACAGGTTCTACTCTCCCAACAACTGCATATCTTTTTCGTAACATTGGAAACATATGAACTCATGGAGTCATTTCAAAGCTACTTTCCAAACATAGAATCAAGCAATGTACCGAACGAAATGAAAAATTCTCTAGCCAGCTTGAAGCCCTTTATCTCAAGTGAAGTTCCAGCTAAAGTAAACTAAACCTAACCATGTTTGGCCATCATTTGACCTACTTCAAGCTTCTTCAACTGAAAAGTTATTAAGTGTTTATTGCTCGTCAATTGCATAGCAAAGCCAACAAAAAACATACTGGAGAGATGAGACTACTTTTTGGAGGGGAATTAAAACTGTGCATCTAAATAACTATATCTGTATCTTCTGCATACAAATTCATGGAGTGCATAAACCTTGTAATCTCAATGACAGCCATTACTATTCCGACAAAAAAAAATAACATGCAGAATTGAATTATGAAGAGATTTAGCATCAATTTGACCTGGTTTAGTGCATAGACCTAATAATGTCAAGCCAGCTTACACATACTCAAGATACTATGCAAGTAACTGACGCTCTTTGAATAGTCACTATTTAGTAAGTAGTGGTCCTTTTTAGTTCTCAAGAGACGCTCAGCCCAAAGTAGAAAAGCCTGGCATTGTTTGGCCATCAGTTGACGGGAGTCAAACCTTCTTGCACCAAATCTCAACGGGAGCAACAACTACTCAAATAAAAAACCAAAACAAATATCCAACCTGGTAACTGAATTATGAAGAGATTTAACATCACTTTTACCTGGTTCGTCCATATTCCCTCTTTCGTTTTTCCATTCAGTCACTGAGGAATCAACTACAGATGCATTTTCTTTTGCAGTATCTGATGACATTAGTTTTTTACAACCTCCTACCAAAAAAGAGCCAGCAGAATAACAGTAGAATTAGTTTTAGAGCTACAAGACCTCCAAGTAGATGAAATAAAAAAAAATATTGAAAGGTAAAATATAGGAAAGAAACTTTCGGAAAGTAAATCCGAAGTACAGTAAATAATAAGTTTGGTCTCTAAGGCTGTATATAATTTGGATCACCAAAAGAAAATTCTCAGATGGAATCACATTTAAATGCCATAAAACTTATCACGAATCTAATCCAAAACTAGTACACATCACCAACCTTCGAACAAATAGAGTTTGATGTCTCATAAGGTGCTGCAATGGCAACTGTCGACAACGTGACATTCAAGAAAGCTAGAAACTAAAAATCTAGAAAACTCATCTAATGTGAAATAACTGGAACAAAAGGAAAGGCAGACAAGTGTTGAGTTAATCAAAGCTCGATAATCGGAAAGGAAAATGGAACTAGCATTTGTAGAGTGTAGTAACAAATCAATACCATGAACAGTACTCAGCAAAGCCTTCAAGCATCAAAATTCCGTAGATTGTGAATGCTATAAAGTTCATGGTTATAGAAAAACTAAGGTAACTTCAGAAAACCTAAATAATTCAAGTTATTTTCACAAAAAAGGGCAACTTCAACCACCCAGCAAGTCATCTATTTAAAAGGACCTTTCTTGTTGTACATGCTTGAACTATTTGGTCATGAAGCAATTATGGATGAGATGAACTAAAACTCATCATTTTTAGCGGCAAATGCATGAGAAGAAGCTTAGATAAAACCACATGTTCTCGCCTTCATCGACAACAACAAAAAAATGCTCTCATATCATTGATTATTGCAGAAAGTTCAAACCACCTATGTTACTCGGACTCTCCAAAAATGTCGGCGGGTGCATGTAGGTTCCTCCAAAAGTAGTGCATATTCGGGAGGATCCAACACGGGTGCGGCGGCATTTTTAGAGAGTCTGTAACATAGCAAACAACAGGAACAAGTTGCCTCGTTATTATGTTCCGTAAGAACAAAACATATAAATTCAACTTTGAGAAGCCTTATGTCCTAGGTTTCCAACGTCCATCTCGAGCAGCCACTTCAAGATTACATATAAAAGAAGTGTAGAAAACAACTTACAAGACAAAGGTCATCTAACAGATTCAAAGACCAGCATTCTCAAGATATCTTCCTAATTATGCATTTTCTCTAAGCAAATTAGGATTTTTAAAGATAGCAAAGAGTCAATCCCCACCCAAAGTTCAAACCCTTCTCCTGTGTGAGGCAGTGATCAAATTCTTATTATGTCTCGCACACATGGCTTCCGAAGTTGTTCGTGTCTGTTGGAGGTTTAAATTGAAGTTCCAGATTTTTTATGTTTACTCCCCTTTTATTCAATTTCTTTCGATTCGGCTCATCTAATTTAGCATTTTGAGTTTTCCGCCTGACGGCTCATGCCCAAAGGACTTCTCCCTACTACAAACTATCTCTTGATACATTCTGGATGTGTAATGGTAAAGACTATCTTTTGTGAACAATTTTTTCTCCCCTTTTCTTCTTCAGTTTCCTTTTTTCACTCCCCGTCTTCAGCGCAGAGGCGGATTCGCAATTTGAACTTTATAGGTTCAAGTTTGGAATTCTACCACAATCCATTCAACTTACTGGATTCAAAATCTATATTCATATTCCCTCTGTTTCAATTTGTGTGACACACTTTCCTTACTAGTCTATATTGAAAAGAACGACACATTTCTATATTTGAAAACAATTTAACTTTAAAGTTTCCATTTTATCTATCTTACCCTTAATGAGGAGTTTCTATAGCCACTCAAATATTATAGGCTTATAGCCCACAAAGTTTTTACCCTTTAAGCTTTTAAGACCACAAGTTTCAAAAGTTTTTTTTCCTTAAACTTTGTGCCGAGTCAAACGACGTCACATCAGTGTTGTCAAAGGCGCGCTTAAGCCCTGAAGCGAGGCTCAAAACACGTTGAGCGCTTCGCCTCGCTTTTTGGGCGCTTTAGTGTCGCATCAAAGCTCTAACACATACTTTTCCTTGCCAATGAGTGTAATCCTGAAAAGGCGACCTTAAACAATTGATATTTCACTTTATCATGATTTTTTTTTAATTTCTTTGTCCATATGTTTGTTATCCATGCTTATAATGATTATTCTTGGACTACTATGCATATTTTTACTTTTTCTCCCGTTTGCGCTTTGCGCTTAAAGCCCCAACGGACCTTAGAGCTTTTTTGCGCTTTTCGCCTTTGATAACACTGCGTCACATAAATTGAAACGGATGGAGTACGTATTTAGTATAACTTTTAACATGAGCCAGAGTTACTGGGTTCAGATGAACCCGTCACTTATGCACTACAATCCGCTTCCGCTTCAGTGTAGCTACTGGCTAACAAAATAAACTCTTAGATATCACATTGTCCATGACAGTGATCAAACAATAGTCAAGTACATATACTACATTCTTCAACATTGTAATAAAATGCTCATCGTTTCAAAAATCTGTCTGGGCCAACCCTTAGCCTTTGAAAATCGGGGATGGGTCCGCCCCTCTACCCTTCTCCACTTAAATATCAGACTAAGTCCGTTCTAAAGAAAAGCCCCCACAAACCCACATGATAATACAATTCAGTTAGCAAATTTCTTTCACTAAAAATAATTCATGTACAACTTCAACATTGTAAATAAAATGCTCGCAAAATTCAAGAAACCAGATAAACCCACATGATAAAACAACTAAGTATGCAAATTATTTAACTAAAAATAATTCATTTATGGCCTCATTTGGAACAAGAAGAAACGGAATGACCAAAAAGGATTATCTTTTTCACTATATAAATTTGGGTTTAGGGTTTTCTAAAAGTTGTTTTATGCCTTGAAATTGAAAATGAAAGGGGAATTTATTTACCTTTAAAATTCAGAGAGAGAGAGTTTGGAGTTGGAAGTTGGAGCGAAGGAGCAGAGTAGCGTCCAGTTTGATGGAGATAAGCTGTGCCCTAATTTGGCCCCCAATTTGGCCCGAATAATACTTATTAATTGGTTTAAATTTGAGGCGAAAGAAGAAATATATCCCTATAATATAAGTTCCATAAGCATTAAAAGTTTTTTTGTCTTTCTAGAATTCTTTTAAGGGAAAATTTCACATAACATTGGGGTCCCTACTTTTTAATTTTATAGCCCATATTTTAATTTACAACCAACTAGCCCGAAATTGATAGGGTAAGACTCAACATCCAACTCCAATAAATTCTCGAAATTACTATTTAATTTTAAGAAAAAGATTGTTCAAGTTTTTAAGTTAGTTTTCGAATCAGCAACTGTAACTCAAATATTAGTTCAACAAACCAAATTCATTTGAATGGTGAAAATTAGATTTTTAACAAGCTTAAATATGTGGGTTTAGATTTCGCATTTGATTTTGTGAGAAATTTGGAAAGGGTGTTATTTAGAATTGTTGGAAATAGCATAAGGAGGCTGCATATAAAATTTGAAGTCATTTAATGGAGATTTGGACTGGTTTTGAACAAGAATTGCAACTGAAAATTGTGAAAGAAGTTCGTCTACAAACACTTGTATAAAGGTGTATAAGATGTGTTTATACACTCATATACACTATTATACAAGATTATACATAATTATACAAAAAACTGACTTCGTCTTCTTCCTTGCGTCTTTTCTGAAATTTAACTCAAATCTTGCTCAAATCTACTCAAAATAACTTCAAATTTAAATTTTGAACTCCTTTTGATATTTTCAATCAATTAGAACAACACCCAATCCAAACAACTAACAAACTCAAAAAATCCTATTTTCGAAAGCAAAGCTTTGAATAGCCCTCAATGGTGGACGTCTACTCTTCAATTTTCTTATATTGCAACCAGGTGACACAAGCAGAGAAGTAGTAATGGCGGTCGGCCCCTTGAGGCATATGTAGAAGATGTGAGAAGAAAATAGAATGAAAGCAATGGTTGTGAGAACACATATTTAACTCCATAGCTTTTAGAAGCAATGGTTGTAAGAACACAAATTTTGAATTTGCTAGTGCTTTCAAAATATGTACAATATGGGCTAGATTGGGTAAAACTTAAAAACATGTGCCATTTTTTGTTATGGTGTGATGTCAAGTGTATTTTCTTGTAATTTTTTTTAACATAGTAAATATTTGATAATTAATTAATTATATGATTAAATATATAAACATGTGCTATGTAATTGTTGAATTGATATAGGAAAAAGGTTTAAATTTACCCTTCTACTTTCGAATATTATCTACATCTAACTCTGTTATACTATTCAACCAAATTTATCCGTACCGTTATTCTATCAGGCCAAATTTATCCCTACCACCAACAAACTTCAGGTGATCTAGAATCTCCCAAATTATTTTAATTAAGTCACTTATTCTTCTTCTTGATTCATTATTTTTAAAATAGTTGGCATTTACGTGCTTCCTTAATTGGAAAAATATTAAAATAATACAACGATTAGTAAACAAAGTATAGCAAATTAAAAAATCTAAATTAAGTAGATTGTCTAAATTCCAAAAGTATTTACAACATACCAACTTTAATGAATCTGTTGCACCAAAGGCATGGAGACTTTGCAAGTATTAGTGATAGAAGTTGAAGTTCCTTGGAGATTTTACATTGTCGAATTCAACTTTGATATAATCAAATGCCTACGCATCGTGCACTCTTAAGTTAGTCGATCGACCTCTATACTAACCAAACATAACAAAATATATTTGAATATACATGTTGGGTTTTTTGTATTTAATATATTAAATACATAAAAGAGGGTGAATGGAAAATGGAGGAAAATGAAATTTTTGAGTGAAATTTTAAGTTTCCCCCTTGGCAAATGGCCATTGTCCCATATTGGAAGAGGAAGAGGTTTCTTATGGGTATATAAGCAATTGCTCTTCTTCTAGCTCTTAAAGAGTTGAGAAGAAGGTAAGCCTCGCGCCGTCGTCGTCGTCGCTCGCTCGGCTCGGCTTCGACTTCGACTTCGGCTTCGGATTTAACAAGAAAATGATAAGAAACTATTAAGAAGTGATAGGGGTGGTGAATATGAATCTCCTTTTGAACAAATATGTTTAGAATATGGAATTATTCATCAAACAACGGCCCTTTACACGCCCCAATCCAATGGGATTGCAGAAAGAAAGAATCGTTCATTAAAGGAGATGATGAACGCATTATTGATAGGTTCTGGATTGCCACAGAACTTGTGGGGGGAGCCATTCTTACGGCTAGCCGAATACTAAATCGAGTACCCCATAGCAAAACACAATCCATTCCATATGAAAAATGGAAAGGAAGGAAGCCCAACTTGAATTATTTTAAAGTGTGGGGGTGTTTGGCAAAAGTGCAAGTTCCTAAACCCAAAAGGGTAAAAATAGGACCGAAAATCGTTGATTGTGTTTTCATAGGATATGCGACTAATAGTAAAGCATATCGATTTCTGGTTCATAAATCAGAAAATCTCGACATTCATAATAATACGGTTATAAAATCAGATAATGCTGAGTTCATTGAAAATGTATATCCGTATAAAAAGGAATGTGAGTCGATTGGTGAAGGATCTAAACGACCTCGGGAAGAAACAAAAGAAAGTACACTTAACCAGGAGGATCCAAGACGTAGTAAACGTCAAAGAACGTCTACTTCATTTGGACCAGATTTTGTGACTTTCTTATTGGAAAATGAGCCTCAAACATTTAAAGAAGTTATGTCTTCATCGGAATCATTGTTATGGAAAGAGGCAGTCAATAATGAAATAGAATCCATATTGAACAATCATACATGGGAATTGGTTGATCTTACTCCAGGAAATAAACCGTTGGGTTCTAAATGGATCTTTAAGAGGAAGATGAAAGATGATGGCACTATTGAGAAATTTAAGGCAAGACTTGTGGTCAAAGGGTGTAGACAACGAGAAGGTCTTGACTATTTCGATACATACTCTCCAGTTACAAGAATTACGTCCATACGAACGTTAGTAGCGTTAGCTGCAGTTTATGGTCTTGAAATTTATCAAATGGATGTTAAGACAGCCTTCTTAAATGGAGAGTTGGAGGAAGAAATCTACATGGAACAACCTGAAGGGTTTGTGGTTCCAGGTAAAGAAAAGAAGGTCTGTAGACTTGTTAAGTCCCTTTACGGATTAAAACAAGCACCCAAACAATGGCATGCAAAATTTGACCAAACAATGTTGTCAAATGGGTTTAAGATAAATGAATGTGATAAATGTGTGTACATGAAAAATGTTCCAAATCACATAGTTATTGTTTGCTTATATGTGGATGATATGCTCATAATGAGTATTAACATTGCCAACATAAATGCTACTAAGCGTATGCTAACTAGCAAGTTGGATATGAAAGACTTGGGAGTTGCTGATTTAATTGTGGGAATTAAGATCCATAAGACTTCTCAAGGTCTGACATTGTCACAATCTCATTATATTAAGACAGTACTTGAAAAATTCAAGCACTTAGGCTTTAAAGTTGCAAAGACTCCAATTGACGTGAATCTTGCATTAGCAAAGAACAAAGGCCAAAGCGTATCACAATTGGATTATACTCGCGTGTTGGGTTGATTAATGTACATCATGAATTGTACAAGACCAGATATAGCTTGTGCTATAAGTAAATTGAGTCCATATACGAGCAATCCAGGTCAATCTCATTGGATAGCCATGAAACGAGTCTTAGGGTATTTAGTACATACCCAGGACTTTGCTTTGCACTACAGTAAATATCCTGCCGTCATTGAGGGATACTGTGATGCAAATTGGATCACCGGGTCAACTGATTCCAAGTCCACAAGTTGATATGTATTCACTATTGGTGGAGGAGCGATATCTTGGAAGTCGTCCAAACAAACTTGTATTGCCTGCTCTACAATGGAGGCTGAATTCAAAGCCTTAGATAAAGTCGGTGAAGAAGCTGAATGGCTCCGGAATTTCTTGGAAGATATTCCATTTTGGCCCAAACCGTTGGCACCAATATGCATACATTGCAATAGTCAAGCGGCAATTGGAAGGGCTGGGAGCGTTATGTATAACGGTAAATCTCGTCATATACGACGAAGACATAAAACCGTTAGACAATTACTCTCTAGAGGAATTATCACGATTGACTATGTAAAGTCAAGTGATAATGTGTCGGATCCACTTACAAAAGGCCTAACTAGAGAGGTAGTTGAGAAGTCATCAAGGGGAATGGGACTGTGGCCGATAACAAGTCATAGTGGCGGTAACTCCACCTAGAAGACTGGAGATCCCAAGATCTAGGTTCAAGGAGATCAAACAAAGTCATTAATGACGGTTCAACATTGTCAACTAAACTTTTGGTCCATTCTCGTGATGAGACAGTGTTCAGTACCAAGGATAAAGCATTAAGGCTTTTTAATGATTTCTAAATTTGATACGGCGTATATCAAATAGTGTATCTACGGGATGACACGTTTAGGAATCACCTATGTAAGTGTGAAGTGTTAGCCGCTTCAAGGAGAACTTTGTAAGGCCAGTTCTCTACGCACTTATGAAACCAGGCGGTGTTCATGGCTGAACACAACAATGAGAACCAAAGACGGTTAAGGGTTGGTTGTGCGACTTGAAGTTGCCTAGGTATACACCAAAGTTCGACGGTTCAAAGATATCAAATCTACCGATTGATCGAGTATATCCGACATAAGTTCACTACGGAAAGTTCAAAGGGAAACCTACTTATCCAGATGCAATTAATCCTTGCTTGCAAATCACACAGTTTTTCATGCATACTTCCGTGATATAGCCATTCCCCATTCATGTGGGGGATTGTTGGGTTTTTTGTATTTAATATATTAAATACATAAAAGAGGGTGAATGGAAAATGGAGGAAAATGAAAATTTTGAGTGAAATCTTAAGTTTCCCCCTTGGCAAATGGCCATTGTCCCATATTGGAAGAGGAAGAGGTTTCTTATGGGTATATAAGCAATTGCTCTTCTTCTAGCTCTTAAAGAGTTGAGAAGAAGGTAAGCCTCGCGC